ACATTTTTTTAGCTGAATTCACCCAACATAGAACTCCATCTTCCCAGCTGATCAACGTTATGTTTTGTTGAGTGCATGTGTGGAATGTCTGTGCAAACATGTGCTCTTCAACTGGACTCCGACTGTGCCGCATCACAAACCATCTCTGTGTGGTACAGTAAATGGACCATCCCCACTGCAGCTAACCAAATCTGATAAACAACTTTGTTTTCATATTTTTGGGGTGTGGGTGGTAGTTCATAGGGGTGTCACTGACTTGCTCGAAATTGTCCTGAATTTTCCCAAACTAGGTGGTTCAGACGTGGCCGTTCACCTCAGTCCAGCTACAGTACTTTAGTAAGACTAGTTTGGTTACTGGGTCTTTTGAGAGGGAATAATTTAACGCTTGAACAATTGATATAAATGTAACAAATTATTTGTTTGGTATCATTTTTGGGTTTTTTAATGAGGCACTTTTTCACTTAAAATAATTGACCACACTTGTAATAACTTATTTCTATAACATGTAGTCACTGGCCTGTGATCATTATCAGCAGTAACCTGGGTCTGTGCCAGGGGTGTGTCATTGTCATGGTTTACACTACAGGCTGCACAAATGACCTCAGGCTCTTCTACAGTCATTGGGTGGTTGTAGATTACACTATTTTCTGTTTAATGTGAATGAACATACATGTAAAAGTGTGAAGTCAAGACTTTTGACCTTTTTTTTTTTACTAATTGCATTTTACACTTTGCTTTGGAGGGCACCGGGCTTACTTTAACAATGTTCTGTTAGGATGTGGGAAATGTCATTAAAGCATTAAAACCTGAAGTTCACTTTAATTCATTGTTACTTTAAAATACTTTTAATCTATTTTATCCATAGTTTTAATATATTAAAATATTGTTTAATGTGACAAGACTGTCAGTCTATGTCAGGGTTGTCAAACATACGGCGCAGTGATGAATTTTGAAAGACACTTCATGTTGGTGATGTTTTGTCAAATTATATTTCATTACATATGAATATTTGCTAATGTTCTTGTACTTACTTGCAGGAAAACAAGGACTTATTGTCATTTATAGGTAATAGTTAACTGCATCAATGATGGTACTTGGTACAGGCAAGTACACAAATGAAAATACACGGACTTGTGGCAGGGAGATGAGGAGAGGTGAGTGGAGACTGTGGCCTTCCCTCATCCCCCTGGTATGTTAGAAGTTGACTGCTGCAGATTGGCAACATACACCACTCCGTCATCCAACTTTTTTTTTGTATGGGCGCCACTGCCCAAACACACTTATCTCACATGCCGCGTGGCTGTCATCAGATGCACGGCTGGATCGTGACAGATGCAGCCAGGACAGCTCCAGACAACAGAGAGTGACCTGTGTGTGCGTGTACGGCAACCTCAGGAATGAATGGAAAACACTGCAGCCAGCACATTGTGGTTGGGTCCTTTACTTTACATTACATTTCTGAATGCTCCCTGCAGCGCTGCATGTATCTGGCTCTCCATTTCACCACGTGCACATGAATTAGAGTTTACTGTCTCAACAAAACACAAAAAGAACCTTGAAGCTGATAATACATACTATGAAATAATGTATTAAATCACTCATGTAATTTTCTGTTCTAATTTTAGAACAGATAATAGAATAATTCCTAGGACTTGGTGGTGGTTCCTACTTTGTATCAAAGCCTTGTATGTAGTCGTATACGGCGCCCAGGGATGAGGCTATATTTATTGCCAGCTATCTAGAAATGTCCTCAAGTGTAGTGGAGGTATAGGGCAGGAGGAGTATCAGATTTCACTCCCTCTGCTCAGGATTTGCACCAGCAGGTTGTTTCTAACTCGTCTTTGGGCATTGGCTGGCATACACATTCTCATTTAACAGCTATAGCACATTGATGAGGTTAGTGATTTAGTGCCTAGTGATATAATTATATTTTCAGTGTAGAGTGTGGAACAGTACCCAGAGGAAGCGTTGAATGTCAAAGCTTGGCTGCACTAGATAACCTTGACTTTCTTTGAGAGCAGTCTCTTTGAAATGTTTTGATAACAGAAGCATTTACATACCACAAGGCAAAAAAAAAAAAAAAAAAAAAGTGCTGTTTAGGTCTGCACCTGTCAAATATTTTTGTAACAGTATTCCGTCAATTTTTTTTCACCAAACAATATATTCAAATATGATTTTTTTTAAGCTTAAAATGATGAATGGTGTGCAGGATATATAAGAATGATATCAAAACATGTAGATTTATAATGCTCTTTTATAGAAAAGTATAGGCTATATCAAATAAAATACGTGCCGTCAACTGTAACTCTGCCCAATTTATATTTTTATGTTTGTGTTACTGTATTGTGCTGTCGTTGTTACGTGTTTTCATCTTAAATTTGAGTTTACAATTTCCTTGTTGTCATTAATAAAGAATGAGAAAGAATTATTCAAGGTCCTCGAAAAACCAGTTCAGCCCTGGTTCTGTTATTAATGTTTACGTTATGTTCTGAAATGTTATGAAGATCACCGATGTGTAGTCAGCATGACATCATTCTGTAACGCATCATGGGAGTTTGCGGTGCATAAGGAACAGGCTGCAGTTTTTGAATGGAGTAGATTGCAGTATACAAAGTAATGCCAAGTTGACCATGACAACAGCGGTTCTCACGAGCTCTGTGGGACACGCATGAACAAAGGAATAGGCTTCTGTCGTTTTCCAGCATGAAGGAAAAACAGCTCAACACGCGTCTAAGAAGTCACGAACAGGCGACGTGCAGCATGGTTAGTTTGAACACTGGACATCAACCACACAAGCCAAAACAAATATTTTGTGCTAGGCTAAGTTTTGTTATACAGGATTGGCCCTTTTTTAGGCTTTGTACCTATATGAAATATTGTTCACCTTCATGGTCACCATTAAAACCTAAATCCTGAACACACATCCTTACTGGGGTCATTTATACTTATGTACTTCTTATAGTCCGATAAATAGGTCTTTGTTTTCCCTGAATTGTTTCGATAGTTGGCTTCCACCTTCCTCAGTGTCAGTACGTTAACGGGATGTCAGCTCAGTTTTAGGAAGGTGCAGTTTGTCCAGCCAGGTCTCCCCATACCCAGCCGTTCCTCCAAGACAACAGTCCAAGTGTGGGACTGTAAAAATGTCCCCTCATCTCAGTTCATTGTCTGTGTTAAAGGTTTCCTCTTGAGGAAGACAGAAGCTTAGCATCGGACCAAGTAAAGGTACAAATATATATATATATATATATATATATATATATATATA